AGCGGGCACCCACCCACCCACACGTACCGATGTATGTATGTAAGGGCAGGCGGCGTCCGGGTGAAGTATGTACAATCATACATAGAAAGCCGGCTGAAGGAATGAGTGTTGAGCAACTTGAGCTGGATGGATGGATGGATGGATGGATGGATGGATGGGGAGACATTCGCCCGCGCCCCAGTCCCGCTCCAGCAGGTGATGCCGCGTCCGCGTCACCCAGGGAAAGCGCAGGCGAAGCTCTTCGGTTTCAACCCCAACAGGTGTTGAGACAGCGGCGTACGGTATGTACTGAGGTACTTACATACTCGGGTACTTCGCGAAGCTTGCCAGGTAGTAGGTAATCATGCCTGCCCGCGTGTCCGCCGGGCCGAGGCATCTTCATTGGATCGCACTCGCATCGGTAACCCCCACATGGGAACCTCGCTCGGAGTGGGGGCGGGGGGCTAACTAAACAGTACTACTGGAGGTTACACACGGGTTAAACAACCAATCGCCGCTCGTGGCCCTATGGACCTTCCGATCTGAAAAAACGCCACTTCCGTCGGCAGGACAAGGCGTGAGGCTTGGCCTTGGCCCTTGGCACTTGGGTTTCCCCATGCCTACATACCTCGTCATCCGAAGTACCATTCTCGCCATACCTACCATACCAACGTGTAACTAGCCCTAGTAAGCCACAAATGTGGTTTCGACTTCTTCTTCTCTTCTCTCTCTCTTCAGTTGTGAGCCGTGACTGGATACTCTACTCTACTCTAGGTAGAGTACTCTAGGTAGCGCTCTCCAGTGTCCAGTGTCCAGTGCCCACTGGACACTCGGACATCTGGTTAATTAATAAGGATATGTTACCGACTTGAGGCATTTCCCCTACAAACCACCTTCCACCTTCCGTACTGTGCGGTAGTGCGCTGCCGGTGTTTGCCGGGATGCAGCGTTCAACTGTTCAACTGTTCATGGTGCCAGGTGAATCCAGCGAAACGTTCGGTCGGATCCGGTACTTACTTACTTACCTCATACTTGGGTACTTCAGTTCGAACCCCCCAGGCCGCAGGATTGTCGGTGCTAAACTCCGGAGCACCAGCTTGCAGGGACGAACGCAGTTTTAGTCGGCATCACTCGACATAGGTGTGTACTGGTAGTTTGGTACGCTCTCGTTTTCGCTCTGGGAATCGAGGCGTTAATGTGCGGTAACTACTAACTAGGCTACTAGTAGTAGTAGTAGTACCTGCGATTTGGAGCTGGAGGCTGAAGCCTTAGGTGCGGCGTTGGGCTCTGGAGTCTGCATTGTTGCTGCCGCCTAGATATGTGCCTACGCAGAACCTCAAGGCTCAACTACATACCTCACTCCGAGTACAGTACAGTACTCTCCTCCATCCGTCTACTCTACTCGACTCAACTCAGCTCGACTCAACTCTTCTACTCTCCTCCATCTCCTCACCTCTCCTCACCTCTCCTCTAACTCCGAACCCGACCCACTGACTGACTGACTGACTGAGCTGAGGGATTAAACGTCTGGGGTGGCCTGCATAACAGCATAGGTACATAGTATGTACTTAGCAAGAACGGGCAATAAACCTGTACGATCCTCAGCAGTTGCGCCGCTGCCTACCCAGGTACGGTACATACAGGCAAACCCTCCCCCCCCGGAGATCCAACTGCGCGCACCCAGACGCAGTCACGCAGACACGCAGAGGCTGCCACTTTTAGAAAGTCCTCGCGTATGTATCTACTCTACTACAGGTACATACAGGTACCGTGCTCACTGCTCTCGGCAGGTGGGGGATCTAGGGGACCTGGGGGTAACCAGTACTTGAGTACTCTAGGTAGTGGGTATGTAAGTGGTATGTAAGTGGTAGATCAGGGTTGAGCGGTTTAGAGTACGCACATATATATGTACCAGCGAATGTGGTTGTTTCGACGGATTCGGTGCGGTCAGGTGCAAAACCGTAGGGTACCTAGTCAGGGTGAGGTGGAAATTGGAATCCGATATACCGGTAGTATACGGTAGGTACCGTACTGTAGTGGACTGTCGACCGGTGTATAAAAAAATAACGGGCGTGCGTGGTTTGCGACTTAAGCGCGATGGCTCAGGATGGCTTATGACTCATGGCTGGTGGCTGGTGGCTGGTGGCTTCTCGATGTTTCGAACTTTCGACTCGGCCTGAGTGGCGGAAGCATAAAAGTGCTACCTACAATTACTGCTGGAGACGGTATGTAGTGTACCTATAGTAGAGATGTTTCCCCAAGCTGGAGTCTGGATAACCGGTTGGTTGGTTGCGACTCGCGAGGATTGACATCGCCGACTGAACAATGGCGGATTAGCGGAAAACCTACCTACATTATACGGTACGGTATGTACTAGTATATATAAACGCTGATTAGTCGTCGTGTACTATATCCCCCGTATCGTGCACCTACAGCATATACAGCTTGAGAGTCGGCTCCAAGTCCGTTCAACGTCTGGCCAAGAGACTGCGGTCGGTCGGTCGGACGGACGGACGATTACCGTATGTACATACCTCCCTACCCATGCTACGACACTCACGACTACCGGTACTTATGCATATCATACATGTGTACCTAGAGGATAGAGGGTTGGATACTCCTCTACGAGCCTAGATTTATCATTTGGACGAGAAAGAGTCTAGACTCCGAAATACCACATCGTCTTTTGTCTGAGACTCTGAGACTCTGAGACTTCTCGAACAAATACTTACATGTGTAGAGTACCTACATGCAGCGATCGAATCGGGGAATGGTACCGACACGGTTGACGGTTCTTCATGCATGGCGGACATAACAACGAATGGGCTTCAATCGCTTCACTCCAACTACGGTGTGGGCACGGGCAGTAATCGAGAAACAACCGGACCGCCACAGTAGAGTACCTAGTACGATGGCCAAGAGGGTTAAGATCTTATCCGCGCTGCGCTGACTGGAATACCTTGCGATCTACATCATCCTCCTCCTCCTCCTCCTCCTTCTCCACACCGAAGTGTACGGTAGAGTACACACCGGTGCTGATTCTCTTTGTACTCGCCCAACCTTATTTCCACGCTATGTGCATCATCCCCCCCCCCCGCCGCCGCCTTCCATGCTTCTGCTATATGTTCCTAGACGTGCGTCAATCAAGCGCGCACGACAAACGCTGGTCCCTCGGTCCTTGGCGGGCGGGCTTGTCGTACATAATCAGATAATCGACCGCCGTTCTAACTTCTGCATGTCAGCTCATCTCCCAACGGCCAAGACTCAACTGTATGTACATACCATGCATATTACACAGGTATATGTATACATACCAAGCCGTGCATCTCGATTCTCCAGACGTGCGCAGTACACACACACATTTATACACACATAAAGATTGCTTCTGTTCTAGTTACATACTATACTCCCGCGCTGGAGTGGGTACATACTAGTACACACGTACCAGACGTCCATTCCGAAGACGACGATGACGGCAGCGGCCATCACCTCGATCGGGATTCGAACCACCAGTCTACCACAGGCTAGCGGCTAATCGTTGATGCATCCCCCTCCCCCCTCCCCCCGTCCCCCGTCCCCCGGTCACGCAGCCGACGCTTCGAGAAGAGAACGAGACGCCAAGCGCGATAAGTGCTCGACGGTGCATCACAGGGCCGCGCCCTTGAAGCGGAGACTACCGTAGGATGCGGAGACTAAGGTGTGGATCGGGCGGAACTTGGCAGGAGTTGGTACATACCCGCCTTGAGACTGCTGGACAAATGTTAACTGCTAACTTGGCACGGACCAAAAACCTAAACGGGACCTTCCGGTCCCCGGGCGTCGCCGGTCGGCGATGAGGTGGAGCATGGCTGGTACTGCGCCATCTACATATGTAGGGAGCTCCTACTCCTGATTTCCCGTCACCTAGTGTCACTCGTGCATAGCGGTCCGGTCCTGGGGAAATCACAATGGATACTCTAATTCAAGCCAGTCTCACCGACTAACCACGTTGTTGCCCAAGCAGCACTCGTGGACTCTAGGGTGGGAGTAGTCCAAATATGTATCATACTGGTGTGCATGCAACGATAATCCGCTTCTCATGTGGGGTCTACCGTCTACATACGGCGCCGGCGCAGATGATCACCACCCGCCTCCCCGCTCGGTCGGTCTCACCTCACCTCACCTCACATCACTTGGTCCGATGCAAGAACGTGGCAGTTAAGATACTCCGCAGTCTGACCGACCGATCGAAAAAAAACCCCCCCCAAAATGGGTTGGCGGCTCGGTGGAGAATCGAGATATCCATCGCCGGACGTCTATGTGTACTCTACATATGTGCGAACGGACCGTCGGCGACTTGGCGGCGGATGGCATTGGCCTGGATTCGGGATGGAAAGACTTCCTACATATACCCACTTCCCCCCGCCCCCCATCTCGGTGAATGGCTTCAACCAGCAGCGTATATATCCTAGTCGGCCGATGCGGCAAGGTAGATTCTTCTACATAGTCGTTAAGGTTCGTCCGGTTTTTGCGGCCCGGTTGTGTATAACTACGGTACTATATATGGCCTCAAATTGGATGCTTGGTTCTTGGACGCTCGTGGCTTTTTTCCCCTGTGCTATTGAGGAGAGCGGATGATTGTTTGTGCATGTAACTAGCACCGAGCTGATGGCTCTATGGTACAAGTCTTCCAGTGAGTCCCGTGTGCCAGGCCAACGATCCAGCAGACGGACGATAGGTATTCGTGAAAAATGGTATCCCGTAGTACCTATATGGACTCTGGAGATCGTCCTCCAGTTCCCCTACCAGTCTCGATGTATGGATTTTCTAGCTGACCGCTGACCGCTGACCACGCATGGCGTCAGTGCGTCACACGAACCTCCCCTCCCCAGAATCCCCACGTCATCACATGACGCCAAGTTCAGCGCACCGAGTCATCTACGCGGTCGCGTATCCCCCATCCCGCATCCCGCCCTTGCCGAACCGCCCGACTCCCCGCTCACTCGCACGATCCACGAATCTGTTCACGATGACCCTCGAAACGCTGAGCCAATCCAGCCGAAACCAGATGACCACCGGACCGCCCAAGAAGCGTGCGCGAACCTCGGGTGGTGGTGGTGGTGGTGGTGGTGGGTTGGGAAGCGATAGCTCCACACCACCGCCATCACCACCGTCGGCGCCGCTCGACGAGCTAGAAACGGTAGACGCGGATGCGGATGCAGACGAGGCCGAGCCACTGCTCGCGACCCCCGAGCGCACCGAGGCAGTGCAGAAATACGAGGGCGGTCGCGAGGTGGACGCGGAAACGGGCACGTACACGAGCTCGATCTATGTCGACGCCTTTGTCCTCGCGCTGGATACCGTGCTAGCCGATGAAGCATATCTCTTCTCCGAGGACGAGCTGGAGGTCTTCGTCAAGTACCGGTCGTTGCCGTATGCGGCGCAACATCTGTGAGCAGCTTTCATGTGGCGGGGGGTGGGGGTGGGGCTGTTGGAATGTGCTGAGAGGGGCGGCAGATATGTGCGTTTGTTCCTGCGCAAGACGGATGCGTGGTTCCGTATCGGCAGGCTACAGTACCCGAAGGATATACCGGACGTGGGCGCTGCGTGTGCGCTCCTGCAGAGCAAGGACGTTGGGTTTGCGAATGATGATGCGGATATTGCCCTCGAGGACGCGGCGGGACTGTTGCTCGTCGAAGAGCTGAAAGCCGTGACGAAGGATGCCAAATGCGCCGTCACCGGGTCGAACAAACCGCAGCTCATTGCCGGGTTGATGAAAGCGTCGAGAGAGCAGGCAGGGCTTCGCGCGAGAGGCGGGCAGCTGAAGCTGCAGTTCGACGGGAAGGGGAATTATGTCAACCGCGAGGAACACTTCGTGAAGAAGATACTGGAGAGAACCGGTGCGAGTTACTTGCTTGCTTACTCCTGATTGGCTTCTCTGTTTGCTCATACGTACCGCGAGAGAAAAAGGTCCTTGCATCCGTCTGTCGTCGGCGGTGACGGTCCTCTTCAACCGTGTGCACCTGGTCTTCTACCGGTCCACCGAGTGGACGGAGAAGTCGCTCACAACCGTCATCCTATCGCGCACGATGAAGCGCAACTTCCCCCACTACATCGTTTCGCGCACATCCAACATATTCCCCACGCGCCAGGCCCTACTAGATTTCGAAGCCTCAATCAAACTGCAGTCCGAGGTAGACGAGATCCTAGTAACCCCTGGTGCCCCAGGAGAAGAAGGTCTGCAGCGAGTCCATGAAATCTTCGAAGCTACATATCCGATCTGGGAGCAACTTGTCGCGGCAGAGGCGGAGAGTACTCTCGCTGCCGAACACGACGAAGCCCTGGAGCGCGTGTACCTCCGTCGCTTCAACGCCGGGTGGGTATACACGCGCATCGCGCACAAAGGCGTGTACGTTCTTGGGCGGTTCAAGCTATACGAGCGCGAGCACTCGGTGCTCAGCGCACTACTATCGCAAAAGTTCTTTCAGCCCGCACGCCGGGGCGTCTGGTACCAGCGCAAAGCCCTGATCGAAGAGAACTACATGAGCGATCTCGACGGCGACAGCAAAGCTCCCAAGGAAGCACGGATCAAGAAGTGGCGGAAGGCGGCGCTTTCCACCTGCGAGGCCGGCCTGCAGGACCCCCAAACACACTTAATCTTCCACTACGACTTGCAGAAACGCATTTTGAAGCTGGAGCACAAGCTGCGCGTTCCCAAGCGTATGCAGCATGATTTCGGCCATGCAAGGCTACGCAAGCCGAGCGATCGCACAATCTTTGGCGAACGCCTCAACGAGCCGGAGCTCGGCCGGAAAACCCTGTGGCGCGATCCCGAAGATGGGTTGGCTGAGTGCAGCGTCGAGGAAATGTGTCTCTCCGTCTACCGCTCCGAGGGGTGGAAGGGCTATCACTGCGAGGGCGGCATAGTGAGAACGCTCTTTGCCTACCTCTTCTACGACATGTTATTCCTATACCTGCCCAACGTCTTCGAGACCGAGTTCCAGACGTGTCCGCTCGATCTCTTCACCGACGCGTTCTATCCCGTTCGAGCATCGGAGATCAACCACCGGCTGGCCGAGATCGCGAACGGCGGTGCGCGGCGGATAGTCAAAGAGGTGTGGGAGAACAATCAAGAACGGCAGCCGTGCGTCGTCGGGCTGAATTGGAGCTATTCCATCGAGGACCTGGAGGAGATTGTTGAGTGCTTCCCGCCCGATGCACTCGCCACCGTCTGCAAGGTGCTCTGTCAGGAGTATCGACAGCGCGGCGGCGGCATGCCGGATCTGTTCCTGTGGAGATATGGAGAGGGCGATGATCCCGTGAAGGAGGTTTTGTTCTCCGAAGGTACGTGATCCACCCACATCCATCGAACACACACCCTTTTGATAGCTAACTAGCTCGCGATGGTACAGTCAAGTCGGAGAATGATCGGTTGAGTGATACGCAGAGACTTTGGATTCATGTTTTGAGCAGTGCGGGGGTAGCGGTGGAGCTTTGCGCTGCGAGGTCCAAGAGGAAGAACGAAAGTCAGGCGGATTAGCCCATTTGACTAGCTAGTAATCCGGAGGAACGAATATAAATGGCTTATGACTCCAAAGTACTCCGAGTGATGAGAGCATGTGCAGGACCCGGTTTTGCCGCCATGAACTCGGGATCCGCTTAGTCATCCGGGGGTGGGGCTGTATTGTATGTACTGTAGTCCACTGTCACGAACGGTGCTGCATCAAGGCAACCGGGTATGCATTAACAGGAATCGCATCATATGTAGCCGTGATGGCAGGGAAGAATGCCGTGATATGTACTCTATGTATGAAGATAAACATATCATAAGCGGATCAATGCGGGTGACTTCGCTATGCTAGAGGCGTCACGCTGCACGATGATGTCTTGCCATTCCAGTTCCGGTGCTTTTTTTTGGTCTTGTGACTTCCGTATCGACTTCCGGACTTGGGCTTTCTTCATCCGTCGGGAATATGTAGATGAAATATCGGCAATTCAGCACTGAGGAATTCCGTGGGGAAGAGAGGTTGGAGGGTGGGAGGTGGGGGAGGGAGTGACTTGGCTTAGGTAAGCTCCGTCTCGAGCTCAGTTGCAAATTGCACTCTTCTCCCTCCCTCATTCCCACCGTATCGACGCCGGATGATGCCAACAACCCGATGCGATATCTACACGGAGGCCGGAGGCTCTATTCTTGCCATGGGGTAGCTAAGGGATTCTGCTCGATGTTCATATCGGATTCCGACTGCCTTCTGCGATAGGCAGTTTGGGAATGAGGGTGGCAGAATTCCTACCGTATATACCGTACCTATGGTATCAGCTTTGACTCTACTAGTACATGCCAGCCGTACCGTAACTTCACCGACTAATGGGCAGATGAAGTTCCAGCGGCTGACGATTGTTTCAGGCCGCTGCAAGTTCGCCCCCCGCTTCAAACACGGGTGGAGGCGAAGGCGAGTGTCTCGGCCAGTGATCTGCGCCGGACAGTGCTGTCATATGGTAGGTATCCGATAATCCAACAGCCTGTGCACCACAACATGACGGCCACTGGTGAGCACAACTTTGGGTTTCATATTCTGCTTGATCCGAGATTGTGAGCGGGCTGCTGCAAGGAGGGAACCTGAGCTACTCAGGCCTTTGTCGATGCACGGGTTGTTTTCTTTTCTTTTCAGGCCTTTGCTTTGATCTTTTGGTGGGGGTGACAGCGACAGAGTTTGGATCATGTTGCCCATCGAATCACCTATACCAGTATGAGTGAAGCGGCAGGATCCTGAGGAGAAAGGAAGGCGTTGAGTATGCGTACAAGAAATCCTCGTGCATGCTGGCAACTTCCGAGCTTTATGTGAAGCCTGGTGGCCGTGCTTCCCTACATCCGGACACTCAAAACAACTCGGCTTTGTCTCGTGGGCTGCTCTACACGTCACATGTCCCCTCCATGCACATGCTCTACGCGCCACGCCCGCCACAACGAACCGTCGCTCAGCAGCTCAGATCTTGTCTATAGCAAAAACCCAGCCATAATAACAAGAACGGCAATAAATGCATCGAAAACATCCGCGTCGTATCTAACCGGAGGACGGTTTCTCCATCTTCCTTCTCTCCTCCCACTCGTTCTTCTCGCTCCCCAATCGGCCCTCCCCCCCACCCCCAACACCCTGCTCGGAACACATCCCGCCTGGCAATCATAAGCGGCCTCAGCTGTCTCAGACTAAAGGACTCAAGTGTGGAGCTTCCTGCGAAGCAAGTAGTCAGCAGAGCCCCCCTCCTCATCCTCCTCCTCCCCGCTGCTACCCTCATCTTTGAAGCTCTTCAAAGCTTTGAATACACCCACTCCCAACCACTCCTCACCGTACCCCTCGCCGCGAGCCCTTCTACGCGAAACCCGACGTCACTCCCGTAAAGCTCTCGCAAACATCTTCCGTCGCCGTCGTCGTCGCCCGCACTGCTCTCATCGCCGTCGTCGTCGCTGTCGTCACACGGAAGCAAGCAACCTCGTACCCCATCCCGATAGCCCGAGCCACAAACACGTTCCTCAGCTAGTACCAGAGCTCGGCCAGCTTCGCCCAACATCGGCCACCGAAGAACAAGCAAAGCAATAGATCAAAAGGCGAACAAGCAAAGAAAGAACCCGAAATGGGCCTCTCGTACAACGTCTACCTCAGCTCTTCGCGCATCTACATGTGCAAGTCATGCAAAACGCATCTCTCAAATCATGAGGACATCATCAGCCGGGTGAGTTTCGCGCCGCCGGTCCCCTCCTCCCCTCCCCCCGCTGCAACTACGTTCCTGCCTGCCTGCCTGCCTGTTCCTGCGACTTCCTGCTTCACGCAGTCAGCCCCTCCTTCCTGTGCTACATGCACGTGTGTGGGCCCCAACGTGCGCGATAGACAACTACCTAGTGCCAGCAGCTCGCTATCCATCTGCTCTATCGCTTCCCCCTCCACCCATGCTTATTTCCCATACGCGGCCCAAGAGTTCTTATTCGTCGTTTAATCGCTATCGGAACAAGGACTGACCGGTAGCTTTTGGGCCATTGCAGAATTTCAGAGGTCAACATGGAAAGGCGTATCTCTTTTCGAACGTGGTCAACGTGGTCGAAGACTCGCCCGACGAACGGACAATGACGACGGGCCGCCATGTGGTGCGCGACATCAGCTGTCGACAGTGCGATACCATCGTCGGCTGGAAATACGACAAGGCCTATGAGCCGCAGGAGCAGTACAAGGAGAACAAGTTCATCCTTGAGGCGGAACTGCTGGTCCAGGTAGGTGGTCTCGGGCTTGTGCTTGGGTTGTGGTTTTCCCCAAGACTGACTTCTGCTTCAAGTTTAAAAAGGATCAGTAAAGAGCGCAATAGCTTGCGCGTTACGTTCTGCCGGAGACCTCTAGACACGATACGATGCGACTCGGCAGTCAAATACTGTTCCTATGATTCCCTAGCTCCTACGACTTTGCTGAGACAACTTTTGCTTGTCACTGCACTTTATTCGTGATTTGTTGCGTGTTTGCCCGGAGGTGGAGGGGGGGGGAGGGAAGGAGGGAGGGGGTGTACTTGAAGCGGTTTGAAGGTTGGGACGGTTCTCTTAACGACGGTATTATCTCCTTTGTGCATTTCTTGCTGGAAACGGTGTTTTGCGGTGTTTTGTTAGGCTTGATAGACTCACTCTTTGGTATGGACTTTGTGATAGTCTGTATACACACAGAGAGTTGAGTATTATGGGCTTTTTACTTTATTTTCATTCCTTTTGGGTTGATTTACTCTGTTTTTTCCCTTCTTTCTCCTTCCCTCTCACTACTCTCCTCACTGTCCATTCTTCTTTTCAAACCAATTCCTCTTGTTGTTTTACTCTCTGTCACATGTCTGGCTGTCGTTCGGGAGGGAATGGCACCCAAGCTAGATTTCATGCATGATTCCCACCGAGAGAAGGGAGAGTTTTCGGGCCCATGGTGAGCTTGCGCTTGTTATAACGTATAGATGGGCAAAAACGGAAAAGATGTGTATAAAGAGCTTTTACTCATCGATTGTCATTTCGCATCCAGTTCAGTCCAGTTGCCGTGTTTAGCCGGCAGTTCGGTTTCCCCCCTTCCGTTCCCTTCGTGTTGAAGTGTTTGGGAACGGACATGGCGAGCGGGGTTTGGTGATTGTGCTGAGGAGTTACATATGGCATACTGCCGTGTGAGGAGCGACATCGGACTTACCGCGGCCTGGGCCATGCGGAGGGTGATGTGTGCCTGCCTGGCTGATTGACTACCATAGCGACTACCATAGCCGACGTGACGCGGAGATGGCCACCCCACCCCCGCAGTCGGGGTTCGGCTTCGTCGCTATATATGGGTAACATCGAGCTGGATATCTGTCACTAATAAGTATAATACACAGGTAGCTCCTCTCCTCCATCTCCATCTCCCTCGAGCTCGACCTCTCCCATCGCAGATCTCACGGGCAAAAACAAAGCATGGCCTCGCAAACGATGAAAGCGGTGATCTTCCACGGGCCGGGGCACGTCGCCGTGGAGGACCGACCCATCCCGACGCTCCAGCACCCGACCGACGCCATCGTCAAGGTCTCGCTCACGGCGCTGTGCGGCAGCGAGCTGCACGTCTACCGCGGCCACCAAAAGAGCGAGCCCGGCTTCATCATGGGCCACGAGTTTACCGGCGAGGTGGTGCAGGTCGGCGCCGAGGTGAAGAGCTTCAAACTAGGCGATCAGGTCGTTGCGCCGTTTACGGTTTCTTGGTAGGTTTTCGCTGTCCGCCTCGGGGGACACGGGGACACGGGGCTGATGAGGGGGTGCACGGGGAAGCATGGATTGCTTCTACTGCAAGAACGGCGAATCCTCCCGCTGCGAAAAGGTCCTTCTCTTCGGCTGCCCGCTGCTCGACGGCGCTCAGGCAGAGTACGTCCGCGTCCCGCTCGCAGACGGCACACTGTTTGTGCGGCCCTCGTCGCTTCCCGAGGAGATCGCCGTGCTGATGGCGGACATCGTACGACGCCCCTCCCCCTCCCCCTCCCCCCGCCTCATCCGCTAACTAACCGCCTAGTTCCCAACTGGCTTCTTCGCCGCGCGCACGGCCTTCACCTCCCTCCCCCCGCCCCAGCAGCGCACGAGCGTAGCAGTAGTAATCGGCTGCGGCCCGGTCGGTCTCTGCGCAATAGTTGCAGCACTAGAATACTCCCCCGCGCACCTCTTCGCCATCGACAGCGTCCCCAGCCGCCTCGAGCTCGCGCGCGGCCTCGGCGCCGAACCCCTCAACTTCGCCGAGGACATGCCGGGCCTGCTCAGGCGCATCCGCGAGGTCACTGCCGGCCGCGGCGCGGACGTGGTTATGGAGGTGGTCGGGCTCGCGCCGGCCCTCAGGCTCGCGTATGAGGTTGTGAGGCCGTTCGGCGCCGTCACCAGCGTGGGGGTACATAACGCCGAGGTTCTTACCCCTTCTTCCCCTTCCCCTCCCCGCCCCCCGCCCCCCGCTCCCCCCGACACCCCCGCCCCCAAGACTGAAGGCTGATAAAGACAGATCCCGATCTCAGGCGCAGAAGCGTACGCGAAAAACCTCAAGCTGCAGTTCGGGCGGTGTCCGGTGCGCAGCGTGTTCGGTGATGCGCTGGCGGTGCTGGAGAGGCGCAGTCATCTCTTCGGGTTCATGGCCGAGAAGGTTATGCCGCTTACAAAAGCGGTCGAGGGGTATGAGATCTTTGAGAGGGCGGGGGCACAGAAGGTTATTTTTCGGGCGGGGGAGTAGTTTATAAGTAATGAGATATGAAGTATCTGATCACGGCGAACATTGGCCGTATTGGGGATGTAGTATCTGTAGGCGCGCGGGGAGGCGAGTGACCATGACGAGGACCCAGAAGCGGGATGGTGGTATGTAGAGTATGATGCTGGTGATGCCCGGCCGCTACATCTTATACCCACTCTGGATAGATAGAGTATCGCCTTGGAATCCCGGTCACACGAGTGATCACTCGATTGGTGAATCTCAATGGGAACTTGTGAAGAGATCCAGAATGGGGCCTTCAGGGTGCACCCGAACTTAATAGCCGAGCACCAGGTAGTTAAGCTCTATCGCTCCCCGTAAGCGCTATCACTCCTCGTCAAGCCCCAACCCGGGTAGACAGCAGGGCTCCCGGGTGCGTCTGCACTCAATGGCCGAGTATCTAGAGTAGTTAAGCTCTATCGCTCCTCGCTTCTCTATTGCTCCTCGTCAAGCTCCAACCCCAGCAGACAGTAGAGCTCCCAAGTCCCGAGTGCCACTACGTGTCCCTCCCGTCATTGTTGAATCCCAATGGGCATTGGCAAGTGATGTAGAGTAGAATGTGGTCTTCAGGGTGAGGCTGCACTCAATGACCGAGGAGAGTAGTTGAGCTCTATCGCTCCTCGTTAAGTGCGCCTACACTCAGTAGTCGAGTAAGCCCCAACCCGCGCAGACAGCAGCCCCCCGAGTGCCACCACATGTCCTACCCGCCCGCCTTGCTAATCCGCTTCGCATCACCGCACACCACACCAGCAGTTCACCGCCATGCACGATTCACAAGTAGCAGTATCAGTATCACAGTAAATTCCCCTCGAATTTACACTCTCCCCTCTCTCCCCCCGCCCCCGTCCCCTTAACCCCCTAGAGACAAGAAAAGAAAAGAAAACGGAACCAGAAAAATCCCCCCTCCCCACCCCGCCCCCCCGTGTAAATTAAACCCATAGACACATAGCCACACAGCACACAATTCTAAAAGTATTGAGAACAAGGAAGTTAACACCGCATCATCCCATCCCCAAACCCTAGTTATCGTGAACTTTTATTTTAGAAAAGAAAGAAAGAAAAAAGGGAAAGGAAAATAGAAGAAAAGTCAAGTCAAGTCGAGGCTAGCTGGCTCAACCCGAGTACTCCTGGACTCCACTGGGGTTCTTGCCCAGGAGTGCCATGGGGACGATACCAGAGACGTGGCCTAGGGATCGGTGTTAGTTCATGTTGGGAGTACGGGGGGTTGGATGGCTTACACTCAGGACCGTAGACCTTGATGTTCAACTTCAGCTCCTGACCGGCAGACTTGATGTTCTTGAGACCCTCCTGGTAGTTGGGACCAGCACGACGGACCCAGATCTGGACGTTGTGCTCGATCAGGACGGGAGCGAATTCTCGCAGGGCGCGTATGACACCCTTGAAGGTGGAGGCGACGTTCTATTCCACAATCAGTGACAGGGTCTTCAACTTGAGATGAATGGGGAGCATACGGTGAAGTTGGCAATACCACCTCCGATGAAGAGGATGCGGCCTTCGGGGTGCTTATCGGCGCGGAGCATCAGGTCGAGAACTGTCCGTGCGTACAGGTACGTCTGGCTCTCGCTGGGAGCACCAGAGTACTCTCCGTAGTTGGCCAACTCGCCAGCAAAGCCGGCCGAGGCGATGGCGTCGGCGTACACCACGGAGGCACCACCACCAGCAACCAGAGTCCACACACGTCCGACGGGGTTCAAGACGGTCAACTTGAGCGAGGCACCAGTCTTCGCATCGAGAGAGGCGATGTAACTACGATCATCAGTAAACGGTCCACCGGCAAGTCAAGGGTGTAACTCACGCTTCCTCCTTGGTCATCTCACGTCCGAAAGGCGCAGGGAACTCCAACGGAGGACCGGCATCGATCGAGGTCTTGGCTTCGGTAGAGGGCCTCATGCCGAGAGCAGCAGGGCCCCGTGCGATGGCCCATTTGGCACCGCACTCAAACTCGGCGGTCTGGTCGATCTTGGCGGCAAGATCGAGGAAGTGGACCTCCGCCGAAGTCTTGTCCTCGTTGGGAATCACAACCAACGGGTTGATCTCAAGGTATGTGAATTGACAGTCGACGTAGACGGCATACAGTCTTGTGATGAAGTCAACCAGGACGTTGTGCACACCCTCGGGGACCTTGCCCAACAGGGACTTGGCGATGGTCTCGTTGGAAGGGTACTCGGATAAATCGACGGGAATCAAAAGCTTCTCGGCCTTCGCATCGACATCACCAACATCAACACCTCCTTCGTGAGTGAACAGGATGTAGTCACCCTAAGATCGTACAAGAGTTAGCAAGATGCAACCAGATAGACCAAAGATATGGGCCCTGCAGAGCCACGTGCATGACGCAATACAAATGAATGCAAAGTGGAACCGGGGGGGGGGGGGGGGGGGGGAACACAAAGGGCAAGAGTATAATGATGACAGGGCAGGTGTGAAGATTTTCTCCCTATGGGTTTGGGGGGTCGGGGGTCGGGGAGCACTGTAGCCGTGATCTCCGTTCGACCGAGCCGTATAGGTAATAAATCTCGTTCGGCTCCCCGCTACAGGACCACACGAACGACCATGGACGACAGGAACGCTTCTTCGAAACAACGCAGATGGGGGGATGGAGTGGGGTGGGACCAAGGGACAAGCTCGAACGGAACACGCAGCGCAGCACTCACCTCTCTCATGGAGTGGATGTTGATGTAGTACTCCTCCTCGGGCTTGTGGGGGCAGAACGGCTCAACCAAGAACGTCCGCAGGTAACCCTTCACCGACTCGACCTGAATCTCCTTCCCGGCCCTCTCCTGGATCCAGGCTTTCGCCTCGGGCCACTCCTTGTTCAGGGCGAGCAGACCGGCCTTACCACGCCTCTTGATCAGCTGGTCGGGCTTCGCGACGAACCTGGCACCGGGCTCCAACAACCACGGGTACATCTGCTCAGCACCGTCGAGGATAGCGGCGGGCGAAGCATCTGCGGGGAAGGTGATGGAGGCGAGCTTCGGGGGAGCATTGTGGGGTGGAGGAGGGAGGGTCGAGGGAGCAATCACGGCAGAACGAGTGAGGTGGTAGGAGAGGATGGCCTTTCCGTCGGCCTCGTGGATCGATTTGGCAGCCATTGAAGCGAATTGAGTTTTCTTAGTGGAGCGAAGAGAGAGGGATTCGGGAGCAACTGTGGAGGGGAGGGGAGGGGAGGGGGAGAATCGAGGAGGAGGGGATGATTGAGGAGGAGGGAGAGGAAGATGGAGGAGATGGAATTGATGGAATTGGGGGGGTTGTGGTTGAGGTGGGTCGGATGAGGTTGAGGGTGGTAGTTGATGGAGGGGAGTTGTTGAGGGAAAAGCTCGGATTATTCTCGAGGGCGGCAACGACGACTTTCGGTGGAGGAGAGCAGGCAGCCCAGCACCAGCACCACCAGCACCACCCACAGCGGCCGGCAAACCACAACACGACGCCTCCACCTCGATCTCGACTGTACCTCCGCCTGCCTCCGCTGTCCACCTAAGCTCGAGATAATACTTTGCCGTACTCTATCGCTCACCCACCACCAGCACCAAAGCCAGCAGCACCACCAGAACCAGCACAACCACCACCACCGCATTTCACCTCCACCCTGCACACCCGACAAAGCCTAGGCGAAAATGCAAAAAATGGAGGGGTTAGTATTTTTTTTTGGTGGGTTGGTGGGTGGTGGGTGGTGGGAGGAGAATCCCCGCACGGCACCAGCAGCACGGACAGCAAAAAAGCAAAAGGAGAACGAATCCATGCCCCGCACCCACCTTCCCTTCGAGACACCTTGAACGCCCACTCACACTTGCATATATTCCCGCGATCATGATTGCGATCAGTTTTTGGAAGCTGGCTTCGCTCGAAAAATCAACAATAAAATCGTTGGGCTGCTTTGGAGAGGATCGGAGTCGGGATCCCGCCATGTGTTGGGAAGTCGAGAAGAGTCAGGAACGGAGCTCTTAGCAAGTTCGAGCAAGGGAAGGGAAGGGGTTCGAAGTGTCCGGCAGCAGGGGCAGAAAGCAGGGGATGGGGGGCAGGCGGCAAAACAATCAGCCCAGACACCGGTATACGGTAGGTATTATTCTACGGCACTTTGTTGTTCGCGGAACGTTGTGGAATTCGAACTTGGACTGGAACATCGAACGGCGCCCGTCAACGCTAGAGGGGAAGTGTGGCTTTTCTGTCGGATTTGCTGTCTGCAGGCCAGCAGGCACCACCCCGCTGTTGCTGTTGCTGTTGCTGTTGCCGGGTGTGTGTTCCTGTGTCGGCAACGCTTCGCAAACAGCCCCGCCAACTGAAGTCGATACTTTCTACACACAACGAGTACGGTCGCTCTCGATCAATGCTTCAATCAGTCAATCGCTCGATGCTTCCCTGACAGAGACATTCTTGCCGAGAAGCAGCGTTTTTTCTTCATCTGTTCCGATTCAGGACTTGCCCGCCAATCACGGGATTCGAGCCGCATGATTCCCGATTGAGTCGTGGCCCAACAATTGGCAGCTTCGACGTCGAAAAGGTGTTGTCGTGTCACCAGAAAGTAAAAAAGTCTCGACGCTTAGGAACCCTTGCTTTCAGACCCGACCCTCCACACAGCTAGTGAGAGTAGCTAGAGCACCTCAACCCGGCAGGCATCGAATCGAACAGAGCAAGCAAAGCGAAGCAGATCAGACAGACAGTTGGGAGAGGGACAGACAGCAATACGGTAGCCCCCCCACTTGCCTCCCGCCCAACAGAACGCCCGCCTTTTTTGTCGTCCCCACGGCTGTTCTCCCCACCCCCCCTCCACCCCCCTCCGGAAAGAGTCTGAAAAGAGATTTCGATTCAGAAGTGCCCAGTCGTACGAACCAAGTAGTGTAGTCAGAAAAAGAAGAAGCTCACGCCTCACACGGGAATTAATTATTCTCTCCCTCCAAACTCCCAAACTCGCTCCATCTCCCTCTCGAGACCTTCGAAGTTCCTCCCTCCCCCTCAACCCACCTCCCCACCTCCCCACCTCCCTCCTGCTCCTCCTCCTCCTCTCTGTCTCCTCATTCACTCTCCCCCACAAACCAACCCCCCCCCAAAGACAGGTATAGCTCTCCCACTGTCCCTCCCGCACTCTGCGTGTTCATCTGCGTGCAAAACACCCAATTGCCCATCAAGAACATCAATCTTTCATCATCACTTCATCGTGCTAACACGGATCGTGGCATAGACCCCTTCTTCTCGTTCCTCTGCGGATATATACCCTGTGTTAGCATTGAATTGGTGAGTTGTGTTGTTGGTGTCGCTTTTGCTTCTTTCCTTCCGATGGCGGGGTACCGTGAAAGTGCGATATTCCACTTGGAATCGATTCCATCGAACCCTCACAACCGCCTGTGCCTCAATTGCCCGTTTCCGAGCCGTGGAGCTATAACTCAGAGTGCACGAGCTGACGCTGGACCCAGAACTCTTCCAACGACATGGCCGCTACTCTTTCTCCTCCCGGCGCCGCGCCCGGCACTGCCAATGACAACATCCGCCGTTTCACAGCTCCTTCGCGGCCACGATCCCCTCCCCCGGAGCACACGCTCTTCCACCCCAAGACCAGAGCTTTCGTCTACGGACTGCAGCCCAAGGCTTCGCAGGGAATGTTGGACTTTGACTTCATCTGTACGTTCCACATTCGAGCTCTGTGTGTGTGTCTGGATCGGCTCTGATGCAAGATGTAGGCAAGCGTTCGACTCCCAGTGTGGCGGCCATCATCTACCCCTTCGGTGGTCAGTTCGTATCCAAGATGTACTGGGGAACCTCGGAGACTCTGCTCCCAGTCTACCAGGAGGTCGACAAGGCTTGCGAGAAGCACCCTGAAGTCGACACGGTGAGTCCTGCCCTGCGTGTAGTATTGCTCCGTTCGGCCCGCTGATGTTCTCCAGGTTGTCAACTTCGCCAGTTCTCGTTCCGTCTACAGCAGCACGTTGGAGTTGATGAACAAGCCCCAGATCAAGACCATCGCCATCATCGCCGAGGGTGTGCCCGAGCGTCGTGCCCGTGAGATCCTGCACATTGCCCAGAAGAAGGGAATCACCATCATCGGTCCCGCCACCGTCGGAGGCATCAAGCCCGGATGCTTCAAGATTGGAAACACCGGCGGTATGATGGACAACATCGTCGCCTCGAAGCTCTACCGCCCCGGATCGGTCGGTTACGTCTCGAAGTCCGGTGGTATGAGTAACGAGTTGAACAACATCATCGCCGCGGTGACCGACGGTGTCTCCGAGGGTGTTGCCATCGGAGGTGATCGGTACCCCGGTACCACCTTCATCGACCACTTGCTCCGATACGAGGCCGATCCCGCGTGCAAGATCCTCGTCCTGCTCGGAGAGGTCGGAGGTGTCGAGGAGTACCGTGTGATCGAGGCCGTCAAGAACGGAACCATCAAGAAGCCCATCGTCGCCTGGGCCATCGGAACCGTGGCTTCCATGTTGACGACCGAGGTCCAGTTCGGCCACGCCGGTTCCTTCGCCAACTCTCAGCTCGAGACCGCCGGTGCCAAGAACCAGGCCATGCGTGACGCTGGCTTCCACGTTCCCGAGACTTTCGAGGAGTTCCCCGAGGCGCTCAAGGTCGTCTACGACAAGTTGGTTGCCGACGGTACGATCGTGCCCAAGGCGGAGCCCACTCCCCCAAAGATCCCGATCGACTACTCGTGGGCCCAGGAGCTCGGACTCATCCGCAAGCCTGCTGCCTTCATCTCGACCATCTCGGACGACCGTGGTCAGGAGCTTCTCTACGCCGGTATGCCCATCTCGGATGTCTTCAGGGAGGACATCGGTATCGGCGGTGTGATGTCTCTTCTGTGGTTCCGTCGTCGTCTACCCGCATACGCCTCCAAGTTCCTGGAGATGGTTCTGATGTTGACTGCCGACCACGGCCCCGCCGTGTCCGGTGCCATGAACACCATCATCACCACCAGAGCTGGAAAGGACTTGGTCTCGTCGCTGGTTTCCGGCCTGTTGACCATCGGTGAGCGATTCGGAGGAGCTTTGGACGGCGCTGCCGCCGAGTTCACTGGTGCCTTCGACAAGGGCCTCAGCCCCCGAGACTTTGTTGACACCATGCGCAAGCAGAACAAGCTCATTCCCGGTATCGGCCACAAGGTCAAGTCGCGCAACAACCCCGATCTCCGTGTCGAGCTGGTCCGGGAGTACGTCATCAAGCACTTCCCTACTCACAAGCTCCTCGACTACGCATTGGCCGTCGAGACGGTCACCACCAGCAAGAAGGACAACCTGATCCTCAACGTTGATGGATGTATCGCCGTGTGCTTCGTCGACCTGATCCGCAACTGCGGTGCCTTCTCTCCGGAGGAAGCCGAGGAATACCTCAAGGTAAGCGTGTGACGGACACCCTAGTACTGGGCCACGAAGCTAACATTGAACCAGAACGGTGTGCTGAACGGTCTGTTCGTCCTCGGACGTTCGATCGGTCTCATTGCCCACTACCTCGACCAGAAGAGGCTGCGTACCGGTCTCTACAGACATCCTTGGGACGACATCACCTACCTCCTGCCCAACCTCCAGGGTAACGCGCCTGGTAACGAGGGTCGTGTCGAGGTTACCATTTAGACACCTGGGTATAGAGCGGGATAAATCTTTTTCTTTCTTTGAGAGGCTTTTTTACTGTTTGTAATCTGGGTTGGGGATGGTTGGTGGGGCGCTGTTTTTCGTTTCTGGCTGTTTCTACTCAAAAGGATGGTGGATGATGACTATGTGGATATGGGGGGTGGTAGTGAATGATTGACGCTGTTGTATCCAACTTTGAGTGATGAATGTCAAATATCATGCATCCGTAAAAGCAAGTGCCCAACGCCTTTTGTGTGTAGGATGCTGCTATCTAGACATCTCCAGCATCAATCTTCAGATCCCCCATCCTGTCCTCCGTTGTCTCGGGTGCCTTCCCCTTCCTCCTCCCCTTCCCACCCTTCTTGCCACCCCTTCCGCCCTCTACACCCGTTGTATCAGTCTTGAGCTCTTCCACCCCGCTCTCCCCTTCCGCCCCCTCCTCCTTCCTCCTATCACCCCCCTTCCCACCACCTCTCCCACCCCTCCCCCTCCCGCCGCTCACAACATGTTCCTTCCCCCTCGGCACCCTCCTCCCCTCCGGCAGCTCCTTCAGCAACTTCCCATCCTTCCAGAGCAGCTCGCCCTTCCGATCCTCAACCCTGCTAACAAACTCCATGCTCAACCTACCCGCTTCATCCCCCTCCGTCAGGAGCACGCCATTGGCGCTCCTCCAAAACTTCAGCCCGCCCCTATCCCTCGCCGCCCGCGCGTCGATGTGGAAGACGACTTCTGCGTCTTTACGCATGCCGGAGACTGCACTGCCAGATTCTAGGGAGGTGAGCGAGGAGGGCGTGGTAAGGTGCACATGCGTCCTCCGTTGCCGTGCCAGCCCGCCGCTGGAAAGTATCGCGGGCAGGAAGGCGTAGAAGCTGCCGTGGACCAGCGTCTCCGGCAGGTCCGCGCCCAGCAGGGGAGTGAGCGAGAGCGCCTCGCTGCTCAAGGGTAAAGAGTGCCCTTGGTTCGCGCGGATAAACCATCCCTCCCCTTCCTCCTCCTTTGCGCCCCCCTCCCCCGCGCCCCCCGAGCCCCCTGAAGAAGTAGGTTCGTGAAGTAAAGCGTACCGCTGTTTATCGTTCCCCTCCACCACCTGTTGCAGCAGTGGGAATGTCAGGTCCAGCTTGCGGAACTTGGACAGCGCGAGGAGCGACGGGACCGAGGCGTAGCCGTCCGCGCGTAATGGCAGGCCTTCCCGTGCCGCCCCGTGACGGAGCGTGTAGCTTAGTGCTTTGGAGAGAAGGACGTCGGCGGACTGGGTGGTGGGGCCGCGGGGACGGCGGGTGCGGGTGGCGCGCGGTTTGGGGTTGGGATGGGAGGGGAGGTCGTCGGGGGCGGTGGGCGGGGTGGACATTGTGTGGGTGGGTGGAGGGTGGTGGTGGTGGTGGTGGTGGTGGTGGTGGTGGGGTTGGGGTGTGTGGAGTTTGTGCGTGCGGAAGTGGAAGTGGTGGGTGAGGGGTTGGTGAGTGTAGATTTGCGAGCGAAGTGTGAATTGGAGTGTTTGGAGGTTATGGCGTGGTAGCGGTGGCATGAACTTTGAGTCAAGTCAAGGAAGCTCAGGTATGGCGGGCTGGTGGGGCAACGAGGCGGGGTGCGGCTCACTAGGCACCAGGCAAAAGAAAGAGTCAAGACTCATTGTGTCATCACCTCACCTCATCGCATCTGATCTCACCCGCTCCGCTTTCGACACATTAAATCTTCGTCAACCTTAATAGGCATAATGATTAATCTACGGTATGCAATATGATACAACCATCCATCCATCCGTCATCCATCCATCCTTTTCTGCCCCCTCCCCTCCCCCCAACGACGACACCTCCCACCTAATAAATCCCCGGCACAATCCTCCACGGCACGACCTTCGTGTAGCGATCCCAGTCCTTGCCGTACTTAGCTCTACACTTCGCCTCGTCCCTCCTATCACGGTGGACCAGGAGCACGGCGAAGTAGACGACATAGAAGTAAGTGACGGGGGTCTTGAATCCGGTGGGGAGACACCACGCCCAAGCCATGATCCAGTCGCCCAGGTAGTTGACATGTCTCGCGACAGCCCACCATCCGGAGACGAGGAGTCTGCTGCCGCTCTTCGTCTCGATGAACTTGAGGTGGGCGACCTTCGGGTCCTCCGGGTTCGTGCGGAACTTGTTCTTCTCGCCGTTGGAGCCACGGAAGATGTAGTAGCCTGTCGCCTGCACCGCGAGGACGCCGAGCACGCCCCGCACCCCAAGGTCGGTCGGGTACATGGCGAGGTACCGCGCCTGCAGAGAGTACACGAACGGCAGCCACGCCAGGTCACCGAACGCGAGCATGAACCCGAACCCATCCGTCGTGATGTCCATCGTTGTCAGCACCGCGGGCTCGTTGATGAAGCTGTCGATCACGTACCACGCCTGGAACGCGTTCACAAGGAGCATGCTGTCTGTCACGCGTCCGGCGGTCGTGTATTGGTGCGCGAGGAACGTGAAGTTCAGGATCGGCCACAGGATCATCCCTGGGCGGAGCTCCGAGAATTGCTTTAGGTCCAGCATCCCGATGCGCGGGTTGAGGGGTCGCCCGATGAACCAGTCGTACAGGGGGTTGCCGGTCGCGCCGTGGTCCGAGAGGAGCTCGCGAGTGAAGAAGCTGGCGGCGTATACGTAGGTCGCAAGGAGCGTGGCGAAGACCAGCGCGGAGCTGAGGAGGTAGAGGTAGTTGCTCCACATCCAGACCCAGAAGCTCCAGCTGAGTCCTTCCTTCACCGTCATGAAACCGAGGTAGCCGAAGATGGTGAGAGAGGTTTCGAGGACTGCGGTAAGGTGAAGTCAGTCAGCCGTGGATTCCGGGTGATGAGAATACTGTATGTGTATACCATTGAGCTTATACTTCAAACGCGTCTTGTCCTTCAGCTCGACACCCTCCTGCGTTCTCCCGGGCAGGATAAACTGCAACGCGGCCAGCCCAAAGTACCACGCGCAGTAGTAGCCAAAGATCTTTGACGAAAAGACCCCGTCAATGCCGGGCCATTGCGCGGCGAGGGCCGCGAGGGGATCCTCGAGGAACGAACTCGACGGACACCCGTTCTCGTTGCACACAAAGTATAGGAGGTATGCGATCGCGGGTGTGCCGAAGGTCACGCCGGCGGCACCGAGACTAAGTGAGAGGTGTCAGGTCAATTCAATTCAATTGAGCGAGGCGAGATTGAGGGGAAGGGGTGCTTGGAATGGAGACTGGAGACTTACGGGCCGCCGAATTGGTATTCCGTCTCGATCATTGTCGAGGTTGGTGGTGGTGTTGTTGTGCTGGATAGGGGGGACTAGGTGGATTATATACTGGTGCTCATAGGCCTCGTTACCGACGAACTCGTAGATGTCGCCGAATTAAAGATTAGATACGATGGACTGCTGTCCACGGTGAAAGGGTCGGTGAAGAAGAGTGTGTGACGCTCGCCGGAACAATCGAGTCTCCCTGATGAACTCACTCTCGGGATCCTCGCATCCGCTCCACAACTTTTATTGCCCGGTGCGGAAGCACAAGGTTGGTGCCCCTTGCATCCAAAGTAGCGGAAACGGATCCGCGTCAAGGCCAAGGATGACTGAGCGAGGCTGCACAGCCCTTGGCCTTCCTGCAGCCTGCTGGCCATCCAAGCCACACACGTGCGAAACAACTCGATTCCTCATACGTAACATCCCCAACCAGCTTCAGCCTTCAGCTCCCACCTCCAGGACCAAACACCCGGTCAGCCGCACGACACCTACCACCAACCTCCCTCACGCACCTACTTCGCACCGCTCGTTTACCGTTTCCACCGTAACAACCACCACCTTCTTCGCCGCCGCTATGCGGCTACCAACGCAATACCTCCTGCTCATCGGCCTGAGCCTTTTACCAGCGACCCTGGCCGTCTCCGAGCCTCCAGAAAAGCCGGTAGACCCGGAATGCACCGTGACGTCCCCGTTCAGCGAGAACTTCTTCGACCTGCGCAAGCTCCGGCGGCTGCCCGACATGCTGCCGCCGCAGGCGGACTGGCACGTCAAGGGCCTCGACTACGGCGCGAACTTCAGCATCAACATCTGTGGGCCCGTACTGACGGAAATATCACCCGAAGGCGCGAACGACGATGCTGTGGGCGCGTTCTACGAAAAGAACGGGACCGTGTACTCCATAGGGTATGCTCTCCACCCCACTCCACCCCTTGTCGGGCGGCGGGGAACTGACGGGTGGGGTAAATGATGTACAGGAGCGCGTCGATCTCCCCGCACTTCCGAGGCCGCAAACTAGTCCTGAGCTACGAGAACGGCTCGCCGTGTCCGGATGCGCCCAACTACAGGAAGAGCACGCTCATGTCGCTCATGTGCGACCACGAGCAGTTCCGCAAGCCGTCGGTCAGCTTCGTCGGCCAGATGAACGACTGCGCGTACTTCTTTGAGGTGCGCACGGCGTTCGCTTGCGCGACTATCAACCAGGCGCAGGCGCTGGGGCCCGGCGCCGTGTTCGGTGCTATGTACGTCTCCTACACACTCTCTCCCCGACGGTGGCCACTAATCGAGACGGATGATGCGTGTAGTATGGGAGTGTTCGCAGTAGTATACCTAGTTGGCGGCATCGTCTACCAGCGCACAGTAATGCATGCGCGGGGCTGGCGACAGATTCCGCACTACCATGCGTGGGCCGCGGCGTTTGGCTTCTTCTGGGTGCGTGTTTTTGTCATGCCATTGGTGTTTTTCATGCGTCTGCTCTCGATGTTTTCTGGCGCCCCGAAGAGAAGAGGCTCGTACATGCCCTCCTCCACCTCCCAAACATCGTCGGGCTGGAAAAGGGGCGATAATGAGTGGGCCTAGTCCACGCTGCCCGCCCCCCACCCAAAATCACCCACCGCCGCCGCCGCTTATCACTCTTATCACTCGTAATTCATATTTCTTTTTCGCAGCCGCTTGTCGTTAAGCCTTGTTCGTCTGTTTTCGTCTGTTCTTTTTTCTTTTTTTCAGCTTAGCCCACGCAGCGCACAGATCCCCCCGTACCGTTTTTGCTTTTTTATCGAAATCTTGGCATCCTCTATATCCACAAAGCTGATGGCGTCTTTCTTCTTTCATCAGGACATGGCACGAACCGTATGGAACCTAGTGCTGGAGCGCGCGCCTCTGCCGTCGTCGTTCCGCCCCTCCGCTGCCGCCCGCGGGTTCGGCGCCCGCACCGTCGGCGGTGACCCCCTCATCCGCGCGCGTGCCGCCGGTGGCTACGTCGATGAGAATCAGCTCATCGATGAGCTGGATGATGATTGGGGCGAGAGTGATTACTAGCCTACTGGGCGAGAGTGATTACTAGGTGGGAGGGGGGAGGGGGGTTTCTTTTGTTTGGGCTTCGCGTTTGGGCTTTGGGGTGCGGATTGTTTGTTGTTTGGCGTTATGTTTTCGGGATTGAAATGCTATCATGGCTACATATGTACCTCTCATGAAGGATGGATTGGGACGGGGATAGGGAAGTCGGGGGAGGGGATGGGGACGAGGAACGGGGAAAATACATGGAATACTTACACCCCTTAGATAGGGAAGGAAAAAGTTCTGCTTGCTTGCTTATAGATTCGAATCGTGGATTTGTGGTATGGTGGTTTGGTGGTACTACTACCAGGTAGAAATTGGCAAAATATGTTCTGTAACCAACCAACGTCATCTTTGTCTGTGACCGAACGACCTCCAGCGCACTCGGGATGGGGACGGGACGTTCAGGAGACAATAGGTATTTCTGAATGAATGGGAAGGGCGGCGTGACATGTTATAGCCACTGGCAGCCGCTGTTGTAAACACAGTTCCAACGGACCAGCTGAATTAGCTGCTCACACAGCATTGAGGTCCATCCTATCCGATCTGATCCATGATTCAAGACCGAGAGTTTTATTTGTGGCCGAATGACCTCCGGCAAACTTGGGATGATGGGGACGTTCAGGAGACGATAGGTATTTCTAGATGAATGGGGAGGGCAGGGCGGAGCGGGGCGGCGTGACATTCAATAGCCACTAGCAGCCATTGAAACAGCCGAATTGGCTGCTCACAGGGCCATTAAGCCTTGACGTCCATGATTCGAGACCGCGCGAAGTTTTAGCCGAGTGATTCATTGTGAAGATCACGCACTCGACTAGGAACTCTGCCGTGTGACGAATAATGGCTGAGCACTCATCATTCCTGGAGTATGTAGGTATGGGGTTCTCGTGGTTTAAACTTTAACCGAGACATCTGGACACGGCTTTGTACCGGTGTGCGTACCGGTATGTGTACTAGTGTTCGCCCGGCTGACTACCGACGCTAAAGCCGAAGCCTGGGAATTGATATCCTCGATTACTTTGGTACCTGCTCCTCCAGGCTCTTGAGGAACACTATCCTTATCTCACCACCACCATATACAATGATGGGAACACCTACGGAAGAGATTCGAACGAGCACCTTCAGACATAATTGTGTGGTGAGGTATGCTTGAGGCGGCGGCGATGGCGCGTTGCGTGGAAGCTGTTACTCGCTTCCGGGAGGGTTTGTCGTACCTTATCTCCATGTGTGCTGCAGTCCGTGCTGTGGAACGGTTTGAACTTTGTGGCATGAATGAATGAATTGTATGAGGTATCATGTATCCCGCTCCGGCACGTTGACTGTTCCACCGGAACGTTCTACCAGTCTACCGGCACGACGTGACGATAACGGCACGATGATAACGACAGTCAGTCAGTCAGCCAGCCGGTCGGTCTGAAGTCTGAAGTCAGTCAGTGAATCACCCTCGCTCCCGTTGGCATATGCATGGCGCATGACTTTCACTCGGTACCGCAGCCCGTAGTCCGTGGCGGCATGTAAGGTATTGCAATTGCAGTGCTGTCTCCGTCTCCTCGCGCTATCACTTGGTCATCCAGGAACAGGAGTAAAAAAAACCAGAAATGTAGCTGAACAGACCATCCCGGAGCACCGCAGTAACTACTAGATAGCAGGGTTAGATCGTGAATTCGCAATGTTGAAGGGTACGGCGACTTGGGCTTTTCGGGTTTCCAAGCATTTCCGGGTTTCAAAGCCTCAGCAGATGGCACATAGGGGTAGGCGAGTAGCAGTGTGCCCAGCCTAGCTTCAGCCTTCAGTTCCCGTACTGACCTACTATGTAGTGTAGGTAGGAAATACCCAGTATGTATACGGCGACCCCGCCGGAGATTCGGTTCCCAAGCCACCAGCTGGCCCGAATCAACAGCAGGGTTATATATACCGGTACTCGTGAAGCAGTGGTCTACAAGCCCGCGGACTACCTACCTAGCAGGTCCTGTACCGCCATACGGTTGCACGCACTCCCCCTTCCCCCACCGTCATAGGTAGCTAGTACATAAGTAGGTCCACCGAATGTTCCTTAAGTCATCCCAGTCTCCAGCACGTTTTGTTTTGTTTCACGGGAGCTTTGTCGAACATATATCCTCTTAATAGCATCGCTGATGGCTGTGGTGTGATCGAAGGACCCATTCCGGGTTGGTTCTATCAGCTGGTGACGGTTTAAATCGTGCCATGGATGGGTGGCAAAAGCGGTGGTGGTGTCGGCGTGGGCGGGCGGGGAGTACACTGGGTACGGTATCAGTCTTTCGTGATGCATCATGCTATCACGCTATCACGACTGGGAATTGCGGTGGTAATGGAAGCTGCTTTTAGTGTGCACACTACTTCGGGCTGGAAACAGCGTGAATGAATCCTCCGTGTGGCACGTTGCTCGTTACTTTGTGTGCTTCCCAGGTGTACATATGTAGAATCCATGAGGAATCCCGGGACGGCGAGTGATACCAAACTATACCTGTCACCCACGGATGTGAACTGACCCCGCCGTAGAGTAAGACCGTCAGAACTGTGATGGGCAGATTAGATGAACCGCTTGCATAGGTATGAATTCCACTAGTTGTGTGGAGGAAATTATCACGGCGGGAAGCACTCGGCCCCCCAACTCTTCAACACGTAGAACAACCGTCAACAGCCAGGAGTGATCCCATTCTTCGCACCAGGTATAGTATATACGCTCGCAACCAACCAAAATCTACACATCCACCCATTCACACCACCGTCACCTCAAAAACAAGCCACAAAAAACGCCCGTACGTAATCCATCCCAAAAGCCAAAGCCCGAGCCGAGCAAGTAAAGTAAAATAAAAAGCCCCCACTACAAGAAACGAAACCCTTTATTACACCACGAAGTGAACGACAAAGTGAAGCGAAGTGACTACCACGAGAATGCCTCCTCGATGAAATCAACATTCGCCATGCTCTGCTTGTTGCGGACGGCGCGGCGCACGTCGTCGCTGAGAGAGCCGCCGCCGCACACGGTTACCGCCATCGAGCCCATTTGCGCTTCGATCTCCATGTTCAGGAGGGTGTCGAAGTTGGCTAGTACATACATGTTAGTTTCTGCGCATAGGAAAGTAGCTGTAATGGGGGAGGGGGGAACTTACGTCTTCCGGGGAACATCTGCACGGTAGCGGAGGGGCTATGGATTTCCTTTGTGGACTTCGGTCTAGTGACGAAGAGGAGGATCTTAAGGACGTCTCTGCGCTTCTCCATAGCGAGGATCTCCGTCATCCACGGGCGAATCCACTCGAGGTGCTCTGGGGTTTGGATGACCCAGACGAGGGTGATGCGGCGGGTTGCGACCACGCCGTTGGCGTAGCCCGCAACGAGCTCGCGCACGTACGGCACCGGGTGAGTAATTCCTACTCCGCCGGCTACGAGGACCACCGTGCCGTATGAGCCCAGCGTGTCGATCTTGCCGTATGGCCCCTCGGCGAACGCTGTCGTCGTGAAGGATTTGTCTGGTGACTCGAAGGCTTTCTTGAACAGCTTGTCGGTGAAGCCCGTGCGGCGCCGGATGATCAGCGACATGGTCTTGTCGGATTGGTAGATATCTTGGCGGTGCAGCGAGAGCTTCTCGTCGTCGAAGGCGACGCGCTGCTTGTCGTCGCTCCAGGAGATGGTGAAGGGGTGGCTGGTCCAGAGGCCAACCTTGGGCATGTAGAGGTATAGGTGCTGGCCTGGACGGAACTTCCAGGGGCGGGTCATGCGGATGGTCACGCGGACGGCATCTCCGGGGAGGGCTTCGACGTGGGCGGTCGTGATCTTCCGGCCTACGTTGACTTTGACCAGGCGGTACAGACGCAGGAAGCGGTCAATGCCCCACAAGATCATGGCGACCTTGAGGTAGTTGAGCCAGACCTGGAGAGACTCCTTGTATGCGAGATGGTAGTAAAGACCGGCACAGGCCACGGCTGCGGCTAGAATGTGGAAGACAAGGAACGTTTCGTAGAACGCATGGCGGATGGCCGAAGGTGAGTGCAGGAGGAGGAAAGTAAATGCAACGGTCGCCTAGAACTCGGTCAGCAATGTACAATCCTCGGCATCGGCCGAAGAGAGAGATGGAAAATTCATATACCACAAAGCCAGGCATGATGAATGCGCTAGTCGTGATGGACACCCTGACCACTTCCCATCCAACTGTCATGGCCTTTCCAACCATCCAAGCGAAAGTATGGGCCAATGCCTCAAGCACCACGATCCTTCCCAACCAGCGATGAACCAAGTTGAACGAGTCGAATGAGATTCCCAACAGTCCTATCAAAGGATTGTTTCTCCCGGCCAGCAGGAACAGCGGCACCATGTTGACGGTCGACATCACACCGGTGCGGTTCTTGAGCTCGCTCAGCATCGTCTGCGTGTCGGAATAGTCGAGCTTGTACGTGCAGAAGATGATGTTGGTGGCAACATATCCCACCAAGAAGAAAGTTTGGAACCTAGTCGGGAGGGTACCAACGTTGACGGCGGTCGAGAGCTGGAACTCGCGGTTGTGGCGGACGCGGAGCAGCGGGGCGTAGAAGACGTTCTTCTTCAGCCACGGGATGAGCTCGCCGCCGGGCGAGGCAAAGTACCGTTGGTTCTCGGTGTTGAGCGAGACCAGCAGACGGATCTGGGCATATATGACCGAGATGCCGCGGTACAGCATCGGCAGGAACGCAAAGGCTCCCAGAGCGATGACCATCCATTTGCTACACAGCGGGAGGAGTCAGTGAACCGTCAAACGGTCGAGGGGGTCGCACTGTCGCAGGGACACACCTGAAGTTCGAGTTCAACAACTCAGCACGAATCTCGTCCTCATCGGGAGCTCCATGGCCTCCGCTGGCCGCAGCCTTAGTACTGTTTCCGCTGCCGGCCGCAGCACTGGTGGCGTTTCCACTGGCGACTGGTGCGCTTGTAGCAGCGGCGGCAACCAGGACGTTCGCAACCCACACGGACGTAAGAACGGCTCCTACCAACAGGCGGGCTGACATGACTGTGTGAGTGAGTGAGGGAGTGCGAGAGTGAGTGAGTGCTGGTGAGTGGTGAGGGAGAGCGAGTGTGTTTGGTTGGCAGAACCCCGTCCGAGTTCAGGCAGTCCCAGAAAGCCCGATATATAGGTAGTGAGCGAGATGAATGTTCGGGTTCGAGATGTTACTCGGTGACTTGGGTGCGAGCCTGTTGTTTTCTTTTTCGTTTCCTTTTCTTTTTATTCTTTCGTATATGCGGGAAAGATGGAATGAATGGAATGCGGCCGGCGCTGGGATGAGTGAATGGAGTCTCGTAAAGAGGTTCTATCGGCAATTGCACTGCAACAAACACACAAAGACGCAGCGGGCAGGCGTGCGGAATTTGGGGAGCTGGGGGGGGTGCTGGGGCGGCAGACAAGCAACCAGGAACACTCTGGGTGGGAGCACACAGCAGTTATAGTAGTTGACTCGTACCGTACTCTGCTTTCCGGGTCTCTCGTTCGTTCGACTGACCAGGCCCCAATCCTGCAAATCTTTGTTCAGCCATCCCTGATGGCACGTTTGCTTGATGATTTTGCGTGGCTGCAGTGCGGAACCGCTTGCTGGGGGTCTATCAGCTGCTCGACCGGGAAAACCGCAAGAACTTGTTCTTGGTTGGCGGTTGGTTGATCCACTGTTCCCTCTCCCTCTTTGCCCCCACTGCGACCAGCATGCCTGGGCCGTGGGTAGAGCAACGCCCCAATTCCTCACCAGCCGGACCTGACGATCCTCCGTCACGGGCGAATCCCAATTCTCAGGAGGTGCTCAAACAGGCACTCCCCGGACTAGCGGTCAGGGTTTTAGCGGCAGGGGGTTTCATGCTTGCCAGGAACCATGGAGCCTTTTCATGCTTTGGTGACCGGGTCGATCGCTGTCGTCGTCGTAAGCCGCAGCCGGCTAATGATTCCTTCCCGCCTGGAACAAGAGCCCCCTCATCGCCCCTCCCCTAAAAAAACAATGCGATAGGCGACGACGGCTATGTACGGAAAAGAAAAGAAAAAACAACAAAGACCCACGAGTCGCTCATCTTCGGCGCGTAGCCGCTGCCTGCCTTGTGCGGGGCAAGAGCCTACCTGCTTCACCGAACGACCATCGTCCACCAACCGGCGACCACCCCCAAGCTAGCGATCGGGTTGGTCCCTACTCTACCTGCGTATGCATAATACATAAGCATTTCTCCTCGCTATTTCCTTCCTGAATCCTCCCACCTCCTTCGCTTGCTCGCTGGCTCATTGATGGCATTTCTCAGCTCCGCAATCAATCGCGACTCTCTTTGAAACGCCCTCCTGTCGAATGTGTCCCCGTTGGCAGGCGTCCGCCACCCATGATTGGCCATCAACCATCAACCCATGCGCTTCCCTCGGGACTTTCAACCTCGATGCCAACTAGTACTTGGCGCTTCCGAGGGATGAACCGGACAGCCACTCTACCTTCTACTCAGCACTGGGCACCTCCGATATCTATGTATACTCTACATACATACATCGCTGACTGCGCAGCAAGGTACAGAGGTACTCACCTCCCCTCTCATTTTTTCCTCGATAGTTACGGGCGAAGGCATCTGCTCTACCGTGGGTAGAGTAGGTACTTGGATACTCCTTCGCTCTACATTACTCCATGCAAGACCGCACCCTCGAGCGGCGTACTATGTCAACTCCCGAATGTACAGCCAGACATACAGACAGAGCCGGGTCCGCGCAGTTCCTGATCCCCAGAATCTGGTGCCGACAGGTGGATTTGACAGACTCCCATAAATACCGACAGTCCAGCCCGTGCTCCAGAGTCCAGCTCCCCTTTTCCCCCAATACCGGCTTTCTGTGCCATCCATTGGACAATCTCGCGTCTCGGACAAAATCACATTTTTTTTTTACATACCTAGAGTATTGTACAGCAACGGGTGGCTGAAAACACCTCCACATACTCCACCCTTTCTTCCTTCCTTCCTCTCTCCACGCGGTCCTCGGGCGAGGTGACGTGCACCCACCGTTTCGCATCGTCCTCAGAAGAAGGGGGCGGGCGGGGGAGGGGAGAATAAAATCGCCGAGAACGAAAGGAAAGTAATCGCGAGCGCGAGATCCGGCTCTCGGCAAGCGCCTACACTTGCCCCAGCTCCGCTGAAGGGCGATAACTGCGATACGTTGGGGGTTTCCAAGTCTCAGTCCGGCGCAGGCGCGGGCGTGGGCGCGGGATGGGCGGACACCTGGAGGCTGGAAGTTGGGCCGATATCGCGAGCGAGCTCGGGCACATGGCACAACGCAAGGTACAACATGGAGTAGGTATCGTGTCTCGTGGAGCGGGAGTGTCTACGTTAAAGTGCAAATAGTTGCCACGGATTTGTGAGTGTGTGTGTGCCATATATGTACTGAATATATGTCGTAAACCGCACAGCATAGAGTAGAGTAAAATAAGTGAGTTATATAGGTATATAGATATCGATTTCCGGTGGACCGTGGACATCGGGGATCCACAAATTACAATGTCCATCAGGATTCAAAATCGCCATACCGGCACATCCACTTAGTATATCCCCAATGCACTGTCCGCTCGTAAGTTCGTATTCAAGCTTCTGTCAAAAACCAGTCCCTCGCCCCCTTCCCCCGCCAGCTAGGTATAGGGAACATACTACATAGTCGGTACTTCACCGGGGATCCGCCCATACCGGTACCGTTACTACCGTAGCCTGCTTTTACGTACGTTACGGCATCATCCCACGGTTAGGGACCGGTGAACTGTGAACGCCTACCAACCTATGTACCAAGTAGGTATCAAGCATGTACCTCACATCAGATCAGATCAGCCATACCACCTAGTATTTCCAGCCTATCCAGCCTATCTTGCCTCTCACCTCCTCGGCCCCACCGCCACGGTGCCAACCAATGGGCGAGGCGAACCCAGTTGTGTCTGTTTTTCTTCTGTTGGCCTGAACATGGTACATGACTACATACATACATGTGTACATACTGGCAATCTCGTGCCGCCTTGCGTGCCTGCGTGCGTGTCCTTCCCGATTCTTCGGTTTGGGGGGTTTCAGAAGTTGCCGGGGCCGGGAGGGGCCGGGGGAGGGGAGGAAGCTCGGCTGTGATGGACAAGTGCCGGTGCCGGTGCGTGGGGAAGGGTCATGCGAGAGCACTCGTACTTGGACGACGACGAGCGCGCGGGTAACTAAGCACTTGGTTAGTGGTCAAACGTCACTCAAGTGGAGAAGGTGGTGGTGGAGCAGGCGGTGGATGTGGAGGTGAGTATACGTACGACGGGTTTCCATTTCCAGTTTCGAACGGCGGGGGACAATGTTCTAACTCAAGTCACGCCGAAGAGAAAGATCGAGAAGGATTGAAACACTATTGCGACGGAATGATAATATTTTGCGTACTTCAAACATCCGGAACATCGACTCAAACGGCTTGGAGGAGGGTTCATCAACGCAAGTCTTCGAGCTCACGGATTGCTATCGCAACGCAGCGGAACCGAGCCGAGCGATAAGAAAGCAGCATCCACCCATGGCGAATACATACACACGCGATACAGCCAACGACCGGAGCTATCATAGCTGTGTATCCAGGTCTTATCCTTATCCTCAAACATTGTGCAAACCATCCCCACACCCCACATCATGCCCCCTCGGGCCTCACTCCACCAGCTGCACCACCTTCACCACCTTCACCGCCTTCATGTGAAAACGGATAAGTCTTGATACGTACCCACCTACCTACGAGACCAGAGTTAATTGGTTAACCCCGAAAGCAGATACCGAGATGATAGATCCAGAAGACATGTCGAGGCATGTCGGCACCCGCCGCCCGTCAAACCTGAGTGACACACTATACCTCCGGGGGTGGGGGAGGTGGGGAGGGGACTCAGGGAGGTGGACACTGGACGGACCGACATCACGGGTGCGTACATGGCATCATTCGATATCCCGGCTTAGTCCAGTGATCCAGACCCGTCACTCGAGCTCTATCTCTCTATCTCTCTCTCGAACTTCTTACTGGCACTGGCAGTTATCGTTCCCCCATCGAAACCACCTTTCCTACACCCAAGATCACCGGACCCGCACCGCCGTAATCGCTACCCTATTCCGGCGCCCTATTCCGGCGCTCGCCGCATTGTCTGTCCAGACTCCAGTGTCCAGATGACCGAGTCAGGTCACTGTGCGCGCATCACTAGGTGGCATTCGTCTCCAGCAACTACCTCCAGAAACTACCCACCAGTACCTACCCACTGACTGAGACACAGCATGATCATTCGCTTCGATTCCCATGGACCCATGGCTCGCGCATGCTGTACTGCGGCCTGCGGATCCACTGATAATCAACTACATGCCCCACGGATGGATGTGCTATCGCGAGCGCGCGCACCCGAGCCCGAGCGGAGCACTACCTATGGCGTGCATGCGCAGGTAGGTAGGCGGACACGCAGGTAGGTAGGCGGACACGCAGGTATCCGGCTGCTATCGGTCCGGTGCTCAGTACACGGTGCACTTGTGACCGGCGAGCTCGGGCATAGTTACAATCGGGTCAGACCGGGAAACGCTCCGATGAGTATGGTGGGTATGGAAAATCCGGATGATGCTGCGCTCTGCCTCTGCGTGGGAACGTTCTACGTCTCAAATTTCAACGGACGTAGTCGATCACACGTCAGACACCTCCATCCGACCAGGCGGCGCTCTGAGCATCTGCGCTTTGCGCCGGGTCCTTCATACGGAAGTTGAACGGAGCCTGAAGATATGTACATACTATATCTACCCCGCAGCTCTCCTCTCCTCTCCACTCGATTACAACTTCCAGCTGAGTCGTATGATGTATCAAGCGAGATCTTTCATTCTCTCATGCTCGCGATCAACCTCCTTCATTGGTAATTTGACAATTTGGTATCATAGTATATACGTGCTCCACAATATACTCCACACACTCCACACGCAGCTCGAGCTCGCCATGCTGCCGCGCCCCACACACACAAGCTTTGTTTCTACTGTATACTTACATAAATCCTGCAAAATACCGCTGCTTGCTGCGTCATGTACCCCACAATACATTCCCTACCTACCCCACCCAGATTGCATTCGATATATGTACATATAGTACAGCACCACGCCACGCAAGTACAGCCAGTACCTACAGTGCACCACGCCACTCCACGGGGCAGTATAAGATAATTAAGTATCCATGAAACCTTATTCCAACACGCACAGTTTGAGCTTTTGGTAGTCGTGGATGATCGTGGATGATCACACCGCGTTCCGGGACAGCTATCTGCTATCTGCCATCTCATCTGCCGCGTGAATGGAACTCGGAAGGGTGCGCCAAGGGAGAGGGGGGCGGGTGATATATCGTGATGCGTGGGATGCGAATAGCTCCTCGAGCTCCAGCGA